ATACGTTCCTTGTGCATCCTTACCTCCTGCCTGAAAGAACTCCCAGCTCTCTCAGCTTCTTGTTTTAAAGATTCTCCTGTCCTGTCAGTGTCATGGTCTCCCTGCACTGCTCTTGGTGAACTATATCCATCTTGTTCCACTGTGGAGTCGCACCAGTGGTGGGTGAAAGGATGGACACTGCCCTCAACCCACTTGTATTTCTTTTCCTAATCCTGTCCTCGTAGCTGCTGGAGTTTTTTACAGCAAAAGCATATGGCAAAAGGTTGGATTAATCAATGGATGAGGAGTTGTTCTCCTCAGATGTCTTGTTTTCCTTATCCTTCACCATTTTTCCATTTCATGGGTCAGGCAGAACCCAGCACTGTGACCCCACGCTGTGATGTTGCTGGGCATGGAGTAGCAAAATTCCAAAAATATGCGCCCCCAGCATGACAGGGGATTGAAGAGGAGTTCACTGACCCTCCTCTATTAATTGGTTTTTGCAAACAGAAACACAAAATTAAGATTATAGGATAAAATTATGAAACCTGATGGCTTGAATGCAGAATGAGTAAATTGATATCACAGACCAGCCGCAGCAATAAATGGGTTGGACCAGGTTTGTTCTTTGTTATTAGATTTCTGAATTTGGTGTAGAAATATACTTTAAATGACAGTTTATACTGTTGTATGAATTAGAGAAATCCAAATGAACCAGAACACTGGAACAAGTTGAGCCTGAACAGCCTCACATTTCCTAGATCCTCACTCTTCATCCCCTTCAAGACACAAGGCCAAGAGCTCTCTTTAACCCACGTACTAAGACCTTGCCAAGTTATTGCAGAGTGACCTCCCCAGGACATCAGCAGCTCCCTCAGCATTCCTGGGTGACACAACAACTGATGGACATGCACTGGCACAGAAGAGAAGCCCAGTCATCACAAGACACCTGCAAACCGCAGCACAGGAGAGCCACAAAATGATCTTGCTGATGACATCGTAGTTCCCCAGTGCTCTGGTTATTTATTCACTCCTCTCTGACACACACTGAACAATCAAATCCTCCCAAATACCAGCTCATGAAAGCTGCCGCCAAGGTCAGATGGACACGGCCTCAAGGGGAGGACATGGAAATGCAGAACATCAGAAAGGAAAACAATTCCCGGCTGATGACTTCATTTGAGCCTGGGCTAGGAAAGAGCTGCTGATCAATGTCCTAAGGCAATAGGACAAGACTGTCCCCACCCATCCAGGACCTGCATAAAAGCCAGCCCACAACCTCTCTTCCTCACACACTCCTCCTCACGCCTTCTCCTACTGCTAACAACCAGGTGAGTCTCAAACCCCTGACCCTCCTGCTCCTGCACCCCTGGGCCCCTCTATTCCAGCACACTCAGCCCCAGCCTCAGCAGCCCTCACACCTCCCCACAGCCCCACAACAGCCTCCACACTCCCTCACCCTCCTGTAACACTGCCCCTTGCACCCTCACACCCCTGCCCTGCCTCACTCCCCTCTCTTCCAGGAATCCTCCACACCACACCCATGGCCTGCAACAACATCTGCCGACCCTGCGGACCCACCCCGCTGGCCAACAGCTGCAATGAGCCCTGTGCCCTGCAATGCCAGGACTCCCACGTTGTCATCAACCCTTCCCCTGTGCTGGTCACCCTGCCAGGACCCATCATGACCTCCTTCCCCCAGAACACTGCCGTCGGATCCACCTCCTCGGCTGCCGTGGGCACTGAACTCAGTGTGCAGGGACAGCCCATCTCTGGTGGATTTGGTGGATTTGGTGGCTTTGGCTATGGCCGTGGATTTGGCTATGGGCTGGGCTGTGGGTATGGGCTGGGAGGCCTGGGCTGCTATGGCAGAAGGGGTGGCTACATCTGCTAAGGGCCCTCAGCAGCAACCCTGACGCCAACCACCAGCTCCCTGGAACACATCTCAGGCATTGAGGATGCCTCTCTGGTCCAAGGCTCTCAGATGGACTCAGCACTTCCAGCTCCTGCTCTCAGGGCACCAAGTAAGGCAGCAGACAAGGGTCAAGCCCAGGCTGCCTGCAAACAAGGCCCATCTGCCTCCTGGTCTTCTCCCACTCCCTGCTCTGCATGGCCGCTTTGGCTCTGTCCAGTTCCCTCTGCTGCAAACCCCTTCTCCTAATCCAGGGACCTTGGGCACAGTGGGAGCTGGCTGCTCCCACTGTGGGGCAGAAGGCTTTGATGCTCTGGCCAAACCTCCAAGGAAAGCTACTCTGCTGATGGTCACCCTGCTCGCAACCCAGACCAGCTCCCTTCCTCTTGTTTCTCCTGAGTTTTCACTCTTCTACCTCAATAAAGTTTTCTTGCATCACAACTTCACATGGTTATTTCTTTCTTGTCTCAGGACTTTTCCAGTCTTATTCAGCGCTAAGGCAAGCTTGTGTGGGCAACTGGTGGTGGTGAAACAGTGCAGCAAGGCCTGTCTTAGGAAATATGGCTTCAGTTCCACTACTTCCAGCACAGTTTGGCCTTCCATTGCATCACACAAGCTCTTCACTTGCTTGAAATCAGGCCTGGATACACTAGTGCAGGTTTTTGCTTACTCTAACAGAAGGCCCTCATGGTCTGTGTGTTCACTTTTGGCTCCAGCCCCACATCATCTCCCAGGCTCTTCTCCAGGTCTGCTTGAGCAGGTCCTTATCTTCCTTCTCATGAATAGCCCAGCCTGGCAGGTCACTAGCTGGGGATTCCTTGTCTTCCCAACATCCGCAGTGTCATGTCCTGCTCTTGGGTCGTCTCCATCCAACCTTGGCGGAAGCCTTTAAGTGCGAGTTTTAGAGAACATATTCTGGTATTTATGGCTCATGAAAGGGTGGGCTGAAGATGTGACTGAAGCTTTGGAGAAGTGGGGTGTAATCACTGAGGTTGATTTTGGGAATCAAGACTTGACAACTGAAATTGCAGAGATATGTTTTATTGCCAGCTGGGACACATGGGGGGGATACCTCCTCCAAACCGTGAGTACCTGGTCAAGACAGGTTCTAGGTATAAATACTCATTGATCCCACAAGCCCACACGTCCCTGCCCATCTGTTCTCCACCTTTTCTTGCTTTGCATTATAATTAGCTGCCATGCCTCCTGGTTTCTGGAGCCACAGGTTCACGCTTTGTTGGGTTTTCACAATACCTAGGTCTCGCTTTACTAAGTTTTCATAATATATTTTATCTTAATGGTTTTTCCTAGCAACTAAGTTCCTATGCAGTTTGTCACAAACTGTTTCTGCTGTGTGTTCTATTTCTCTTCTGCCTGCTTAAGCATATTAAAAACTTCTAAAATTCCAAATTTTCAAAACCATATATGTTTCTCATTTCAAGGTCATGCTATGGTACTTCTGTGCTGTGGTTTGTGGGTGTGTGGGGAAGAGTTGCCCCCACACTCTGTCAGTCCTGTCAGGCTGTTCTGCATTTTGCAGCTGGGCCAAGTAGGAGGTGTTGTACCTTCAGTTGACATTCCCTCTCTCCATGCTTTTCTCCCAGCTGGCAATGGCTGACATTGGACCACCTTTTTCCTGTTGGTTGTGCTTTGTGTGTGTCTTGGTGTCCCTCTTGCTTCTTCTACAGGTTCTTTTGGGTTGTTTCTTGGGCTAAAGACTGAGGCCATTTCCATGGGCAATGTCTGGTTGTCAGAAAGAGGATTGGGTGGTTGCCCTGGGTTGTTGGAGGCGAGCACTATCCGATCCTTGACAACCAGGCACATCCAGATTCTGTGAGTGCCCAGCGTGGTGGCCTGAGAAGGGTCTGAAAAACGGGACCCAGAGGCTTGTGGTCAATGTCCCAAAGTCCACATGGCAGCAAATCCCCAGTGCTGTAGCCCAGGACTTGGATCCTTCTGCCAACACGGAAAACCTGAGTGGTCCTGGACATTTGCTGGAGCTCAGCAAATGCATCTGCCACGGGCTGTTTCTTGAGAGGAACAAGGAAGTCATGCCAGGTAGGAAGGAATATGTGGGTATCAGTAGGACAATTCTTTTCCAAAAAGCCTTTGTGATTGTGGGTGAGAAGAAATGGAGCAGGAGGTGTCCCTGTACCCTTGTGGGAAAAGGGATGGCAAGGTTCCAGGGCAGGATCTGGAGAAGTGTTGGGATGAGGTAGTGGGAGGTAACTGTTGGTGTTTGCTCAGCACTGGTGAGGTCCCATGTGAGGGGTTGTGGGCAGTTCTGGACTCCCAGGTGAGACCAGCTCAGGGCCAGCCAGATACAAATGGGCCTGAAAGATGATTCCTAGAGGAGAAGCTGAGAGAGCTGGGACTCCCAGGGGACAGGGATGGACAGGGGTGTGTCATCAGTGTGAGCAAAGCCCTGATGGTGGGGAATGAAGATGAAGGAGCCTGGCTGCTCTTAGCAGTGCACACGTGCAGGGCAAGAGGGAAAGAGGAGAAGTGAAAAGAGATGGAACTCGACAGGCAAATAAAGAAGACTCTTTCATTGTGAGGGGGGTCACAGAGTGGAAGAGGTGGTGGAGTCACGATCCGGGGAGAGCGATATCTGAACTGTCCATGGTGCTGGAAATGTTCTCCTGTTGGTCGTGCTTGAGCAGGGCAGAGGAAGCACTTGCACTGCAGAGCTCCTGCCCAGGTGCTCGATGTTGTTTCTCTCTGTGCTGCAAGGCTTGTAGAGTCCTGGCCAGGAAGAGATTTTGTCAAGTGAGCACTGGCATGGAATGACTTTTCCATTTCTGTGCTAAGGAGAGAACTGTTGTTCAACAACAGTTGAACAGTCAGTCGAGGACTTTGGTGTAGCAGTTGGCAGGGTGTGTGACAGGTTCTGCAAGGTGTCCCCTCCTGTGTGTCTCATGCCAAACTCGTTATTTGTTGTTTTGAGATACGTGTAAGGAGAAGTGTTGCTGCTCTGTTCCAGGTACCCTCAATGTCTTTTGAACTATAGAACATGCTGGGAGAGAATGCCAGATCATTGGAGCAAAAAAGATACGGAGGCATGCCAGGTTTGATGCATGAAAACTTTATTGGTTGAAAAGAATGAAACTCCAGGAGATAAAAGTGGAAAAGAATAATCTGTTGTGAGGTGCGAGTAGGACAAAGATCAGCTGAAGTGCTTTGCTTGTAGGAGCTGTTGCCAGAGCCCTGAGCTGGTGGTTGGTGTCAGGGTTGTTGCCAAGGGCCCTCAGCAGATGTAGCCACCCCTTCTGCCATAGCAGCCCAGGCCTCCCAGCCCGTAGCCAAATCCACGGCCATAGCCAAGGCCGTAGCCAAATCCACCAAATCCACCAGAAATGGGCTGTCCCTGCACACTGAGTTCAGTGCCCACAGCAGCCGAGGAGGTGGATCCAACGGCGGTGTTCTGGGGGAAGGAGGTCATGATGGGTCCTGGCAGGGTGACCAGCACAGGGGAAGGGTTGATGACAACGTGGGAATCCTGGCATTGCAGGGCACAGGGCTCGTTGCAGCTGTTGGCCAGAGGGGTGGGTCCGCAGGGACGGCAGATGTTGTTGCAGGCCATGGGTGTGGTGTGGAGGGTCCTGGAAGAGAGAAGGATGAGGCTTGGCAGGTGTGAGGGGTGCAAAGGGTGCAGGAGGGTGAGGGAGTGTGGAGGCAGTTGTGGGGCAGTGAGGAGGTATGAGGGCTGCTGAGGCTGAGGCCAAGCGTGGTGGCAGAGAGGGCCCAGGGGTGCAGGGACAGGAGGGTCAGGGGAATGAGGCTCACCTGGTTGTCAGCAGGAGCAGGAGGAGAAGGCGTGAGGAGGAGTGTGTGAGGGAGAGAGGCTGTGGGCTGGCTTTTATGCTGGTTCTGGAGGGGTGGGACTGCCTTGTTCCATGGCCTTGGGGCATTTTTTAGGCAGCAGCTCTTCGTTGGCCCAGCCTGGTGAGTCATGAAGTGGGCAGGGTTTTTATTTGAACAATTCTGCAATTCCATGTCCTTCCCTTGGTGCCGTGTCCATCTGACCTTGGCAGCAGCTTCAGAGTGAGAGCTGGTATTTGGGAGGATGTGATTGTTCAATGTGTGTTGGGGGGCTGAGTAAACAACCAGAGCCGTGGAGATTTGCGATGTCATCAGTGAGGTCATTTTGTGGCAGTCGTGTGCTTTGTTTTGGGGGTGCCTTGTGAAGACTGGGACTCTGTTCTGTGCCACTGTATGTCACTCATTTTGTGTCACCCAGGAATGCTGAGTGATCTGCTGGTCTTCTAGGGAGGTCACTCTGGAAGAACTTGGCAATGTCTCTGTTGCTGGAGTGTTTCCTGATGGATGAAAGAGAGCTCATGGCCTTGTGTCTTGAATGGGATCAAGGCAGAGGATCCAGCAAAGTAGAGGCTGTTCAGGCTGAACTTGTTTCATTTTTCCGGTCCATTTGGATTTCTGCAATCTACGCAGCCGCGTACACTGTCATTTGAAATGTATTCCTTGACCTCATTCATGAATCTTCTAAACAAACAACAAGCCCTTATTTGCCCAGGCTGGTTTGTGATGTCAGTTTTCTTATTTGACATTCAAGCCACAAGTTTCATAACTTATAACCTCTAAGTTTTAATATTTTGTTCCTGTTAGCAAAAGGTAATTGTTACAAATATATGATCAGTGAGCTCATGCTCCCTCATATGTCATGGCACTGGCATTCCTTTGTGGAATTCTGCTCTTCCAAGCCATTCCCTTGAGGTCTTGTCCATCTCACTTTGATGGCTGATATTTAAATGCAAGTATTAGAGGTAAATGCAGGTGTTGATGGCCTTGTCAGGGCAAGCTGAAGACGTGACCGAAGCTTTGGAGAGGTTGGGTGTCACCAGTGAGGTCAACCTGTGGCACTCATGCTCTCTGGTTTGTGGGTACATTGTGAAGATGGGCCTCAAACCATCACGGCTCCATCAGGCTGGTCTCTGCTTTGTAGGAGCTCTGCTTGTAAGGGTCTTCTCCTTTCATTGTTTCCATCCCCACCATGTTGCCATCTCTCTAGGTGTTTTTAAATACCTTTCCCGTTGAGGATAGGAAACCAATCCTGTTGTTTAGGGAGGCTCCCTTGCTGCCCTAAGTCTTGTGTTGGGTCATCCATAGCGCTCGTCTCATCTGGGCCCATGAAGGTCACACTGTGGGATCACAGTGCTGGGTTCTGCCTGACCCATGAAAAGGAAAATGGGTGAAGGGTAAGGAGAACAAGATGTTTGAGGAGAACAATTCCTCATCCATTGATTAATCCACCCTTTTGACATGTACCTTCTGCTGCAACAAACTCCAGCAGTTGCAAGGACAGGATTAGGAAAAGAAATACAGGTGGGTTGAGGGAAGTGTCCATCTTTTCACCCACCACTGGTGCGACTCCACAGTGGAACAAGGAGATGGACATGGATGACCAAGAGCAACTCAGACAGACCATGACTGACAAGACTGGAACATCCTTAAAATGAGAAGAAATTAGGGACCTGGAATGTCAGGCAGGAGGAAAAATGCAAGTAGGAGATGTTGTCAATAAGCCATGGCATGACCTAGTGTTGGGTCCCCAGTTCTTCAGAGATCTTGTTGAATCTTCAACATGTCCTGACACTTGATGTCAACAAGGATACATTGGTCACTAATTCTCTCAACTAAGAGGTTATGCCAAGGTCAGATGGACACAGCATCAAGGGAAGAGCAAAGAATTGCAGAATTGCAGGAAAGAAAACACTCCCATCTCCTGACTCACCAGGCTGGGCCAAAAAATAGCCGCTGCCTAAAAAATGGCCCAAGGCCATGGGACAAGGCAGTCCCACCCCTCCAGGACCAGCATAAAAGATGGCCCAGAGCCTCTGTCCCTCACACACTTCTCCTCACACCTTCTCCTCCGGCTTCTGCTGGCAAGGTGAGCCTAACTCCCCTGACCCTTCTGCTCCTGCACCCCTGGGCCCTCTCTTCCAGCATGCCCGGCCCCAGCCTCAGCAGCCATCACACCTCCCCACAGCCCCGCAACAGCCTCCACACTCCCTCACCCTCCTGTAACACTGACCCTTGCACCCCACACCCCTGCCCTGCCTCACTCCCCTCTCTTCCAGGAATCCTCCACACCACACCCATGGCCTGCAACAACATCTGCCGACCCTGCGGACCCACCCCACTGGCCAACAGCTGCAATGAGCCCTGTGCCCTGCAATGCCAGGACTCCCACGTTGTCATCAACCCTTCCCCTGTGCAGGTCACCCTGCCAGGACCCATCATGACCTCCTTCCCCCAGAACACCGCCGTTGGATCCACCTCCTCGGCTGCTGTGGGCACTGAACTCAGTGTGCAGGGACAGCCCATCTCTGGTGGATTTGGTGGCTTTGGCTACGGCCTTGGCTATGGCCGTGGATTTGGCTATGGGCTGGGCTGTGGCTACGGGCTGGGAGGCCTGGGCTGCTATGGCAGAAGGGGTGGCTACATCTGCTAAGGGCCCTCGGCACCACTCCTGACAGCAGCATCTCATGGCTCACCAACAGCCTCTGCAAGCTTCTGCCAGCAAAGCATCTCAGCTGGTGGCCCTGCTTGCACCTCACACCAGATCCCTTCTTTCTCCTGTCTCTTCATTCTTGTGCCTCAATAAAGTTTTCCTGCATCAGAGTCTGAGATGACTCATGTTCTTCTGTAATTCCAGTCATCTCACATTCTTACCAAGAACATTCCCAGCCTCAGCAGTTCATTGGGGTATGTGAAACATCACCTTCCCTCACAAATATGTCAAAACAATAAGAAAGAATGGCATAGGAAACACAGGAGGGGACACCTTCAAGAACATGACACAGACACATCACCTTATACACAAAAGCTTGGATACATCCCTCCACTCCTGGGTACAGCTCTGATCAAGTCAGTCCATATCAGCACCCACTTGACCAACTCTCTTCCTGCCAGGACTCTTGAAAATTCCAGCAAAAAAGAGTAACAAAATCATCCACTTGAACAGGAAGTTTGGAGTACAAATGCTTCAAGTATCTGCTCAAGCAAGACCCACAGGAGCAGGAATCCCAGCACCACGGACAGTTCAGTGTTGTCTCTCCCAAGACAGGCAGTCCAACACCTGTTTCACTCTGTGACCATCCTCAAAATGAGAAATCTTGCCTTTTTAATACAAAGAAGAGTACATATCTGTATTCTCTTTGCAATTGCCCTTTTATCCCACATGTGTGCACTGCTGAAAAAAGCCTGGCGCCCTCAACTTCATTGTCTGCCATCAGAGATTTGCACACACTGATGACACACCCCTGTCCACCCTCGTCCCCCAGGAGTCCCAGCTCTCCCAGTTTCTCCTCTACAAATGATTCACCAGCCCCTCGCGAATGTTGGTGGTTCTGAACAGGTTGTGACTCACTAAATGTATTTCATATTCACACCAGGGGGCCCACAGCTGCACACAACAGCTCACATGGGACCTCACCAGGGCTTAAAAGACACCAAGAGTCACCTCTCCCCACCTCATCACAACGCTTCTCCCTAGACTTGACCTAAAGACTTGAAGTCCCTTTTCCCACAATGATACAGGGATACCTCCTGCCCCATTCCTTCTAACCCAGAACCACAACAGCCTCTTCAGAGAAACAAAACAATGGTTCCAAGTCACACCCAGATATTTCTTCTTACCTGGGATGACTCCTCCCAAGAAAAAGCACTTGGCTGCTGCCCTTGCTGAAGTCTAGCAAATGTCCACAACCTGTCAGGTTTTCAGGGTTGGCCCAGTGGATCCAACTCCTGGGCTATCCCAGTGGGCACTTGCAGCCATCTGGACTTCGGGACACTGACCACAAACCACTGGGCCCAGTCTTTGGACCTTTCTCAGGCCACCACAACTGGCTGCTGACACAACCTGGACTTGCCTGGGTTGTTAAGGATCGTGCAATGCTCACCTCCAAGAACCCTGGCCAACCTCCAAATCCTCATTCAGACAATCACATGTGGCCTCACCCCTTGGCACTCAGCCCAAAGCAAAAACCAAAATATCAAAACCTTTGAGGCTAGAGTATCACCCAAGCACCCACGGAGCACGTCCCAACAGAAAGTGAGGTCTGATGTCAGCCTTTGCAAACTAGAATAAATCCTTGGAGGGATGAAAGGCAATGGAAGGTGCAACACCTCCTCCTTGGCGCAGCTGCAAAGCCCAGACCAGACTATCAGAACTGTGAGAAGTTTGGGGTAAATTTTCAGAAGGCACCCACAGACCATGGCACACGAGGGCCATGGGGTGATCACAGTGATGACATCCCACCTCTCCAAAGCTTGGGTCACGTCTTCTACCCTCCCTGACATGAATCATCAACAGAAGAATTTGACCTCTTAGTGCTCGCAATTAAACATTAGCACCACAGATGGAAATGGCCTCAGGAGCAGGATATGGAATTGCACAATTCTACAAAGACAAGCACATCCTTGTCAGGGAATGACAGTGGACCTCACTGATTGTCCACTAGTAATTACTGGTTATTTTCATACGGGAACACAATGTTAACAATTACAGCTTATGAGTTATGAAACTTGTGGCTTAAATGCGGTATAAGTGAATTGATGTCACAGACAGCCTGAGAAAAAAGGGATCAAGCCCAGTTTTTTCTTTCTTGATTGGATTTCTTCACAATGTCAAGGAATACATTTTAAATGGCAGAGTACGTTGTCATGTAAATTTAAGAAATCCAAATGGGCCGTAACACTGGAACAGGTTCAGCCTGAGCAGCCGCTCATTTTAAATGTCCTCTCCCTTGATCCCAGTCAAGACACAAGGCCATGGGCTCTCTTTCATCCATCAGGAAGAGCTCCCAGGCATAGGGACCTTTCCAAACCATTGCAGAGTGACCTCTGCAACAGGACATCAGCAGCTCCCTCAGCATTCCTGGGTGCAACACAATGAGTGACAGACATGCAGTGGCACAGAACAGAGTCCCAGTCTTCACAAAGCACCCACAAACCACAGCACACGAGTGCCACAAAATGACCTCACTGATGACATTGCAAATCTCCATGGCTTTGGTTGTTTATTCAGCCCGCCCTGAAACACACTGAACAATCAAATCTGCCCAAAAAACAAATTATGAAAGCTGGCACCAAGGTCAGATGGACACGGCCTCAAGGGCAGGACATGAAACTGCAGAATTGCATGAATGAAAACACTGCTGACCTCATAACTCACCAGGTTGAGCCAGCAGAGAGCTGCTGCCTAAAAAATGTCCCAAGGCCATGGGACAAGGCAGTCCCGCCCCTCCAGAACCAGCATAAAAGCCAGCCCAGAGCCTCTCTCCCTCACACACTTCTCCTCACACCTTCTCCACCTGCTTGTGCTGACAACCAGGTGAGTCTCAAGACCCCTGAACCTCTTGCTCCTGCATCCGTGGGCCCTCTCTGCCCATCCCCAGCCTCAGCAGCCCTCACACCTCCTCACAGCCCCACAACAGCCTCCACACTCCCTCACCCTCCTGCATCACCAACCCTTGCACCCCAACAACCCCTGCCCTGCCTCACTCCCCTCTCTTCCAGGGACCCTCCACACCACAACCATGGCCTGCAACAACCTCTGCAAACCCTGTGGACCCACCCCGCTGGCCAACAGCTGCAACGAGCCCTGTGCCCTGCAATGCCAGGACTCCCGTGTTGTCATCGACCCTGCCCCTGTGCTGGTCACCCTGCCAGGACCCATCATGACCTCCTTCCCCCAGAACACCGCCGTTGGATCCACCTCCTCGGCTGCCGTGGGCACTGAACTCAGTGTGCAGGGACAGCCCATCTCTGGTGGATTTGGTGGCTTTGGCTACGGCCTTGGCTATGGCCATGGATTTGGCTATGGGCTGGGAGGCCTGGGCTGCTATGGCAGAAGGGGTGGCTACATCTGCTGAGGGCCCTCGGCACCAACCCTGACACCAACCCCCAGCTCCCTGGAACACATCTCAGGCATTGAGGACACCTCTCTGGTCCAAGGTTCTCAGATGGACTCAGAGCTTCCAGCTCCTGCTCTCAGGGCAACAGTCAAGGCAGTAGCCAATGGGCCAACCTGGGCTGCCTGCAAACATGGCCCATCTGCCTCCTGCTCTTCTCCCACTCCCTGCTCCACATTGCCCCTTCAGCTCTGTTCAGTCCCCTCTGCTGCAAACCCCTTCTCCCAATCCAGGGATCCTTGGGCAGCTGCACTGTGCTTCTTCCACTGTGGGGCAGGAAGTCCTTGGTGGTCTGGACAAATGTAGACGATTCAGAGTTACTCTGCTGATGGTGACCCTCACTGCACCTCAGACCTGATCCCTTTCCCTGGCTGGTCCTGCTTTTTCACTATTTTGTTTCAATAAAATTTTTCTTGCATCACAACTTCAGTTTGTTTTCTTTATGTTTTCTGAATGGAGCTTCTGGTGAAGTGGGTATGAAACCTGTTTCCATTGTACTGCACCACAGGTGATCAGGAGTCCAGAGCTGAAGTGTCTTCAGGAGGAGTTTAGGTTGGATATTAAGGAAGCGTCCTTCAGGGAGAAGCTTGTCATTCCTGTCACAGACTACACAGGATAGTGGTGGAGTCATCATCACTGCAGGAATTTAATATCCCTGTAGATGTGTAACTTGGGGACGTGGGTTTGTGATGGCCTTGGTAGTGCTGAGGGAATGGTTAGAATTTTACCGTATTTTCAATTTTGACATTTTGCAACAAAAATGTTTTTAAGATGTGATTACTTAGTGGTGGATTTGGTAGTCCTCCATTAACATTTGGAGCCAATTTAAAGGATCTTTTTCAGCTGAATGGACCCCAGGAGTGTTGGTGGCACCTGTGTAAGAGAGAAGAGGGTAGATGGGAACAGCAGGTGAGGGGTAAGCCAGGCCTTTGGGGTCTTGAGCTGTGACAAGTGCCCAGAGCTGAAGCCACTTCTCTTGGAGGATTTCCCTTGAGGAAATGGTGCTTGGCTGAACTCTGTGTCTGCTCTGTCCCAGTGACTCGGCTTGGGCATGAGGAGAGAGCTTTGGCTGGGGTTGAACTTCACCCTTTTGTGAAGCCTTTGATGCCCCTTCCCATTCTACACTCCCAAAGTATCAGAACAAGCCCAGGTTGCCTGAGAGTTCAGTGAGTGACCTGAGAGGGCTGCAGGGCTGGTCCCAGAGGCTGGGGATCAGTGGCCCAAAGTTCAAATTGAGGAAAATCTCAAGGGAAGTATGTCAAGTATATCCAGGGAGCCAACCCTGGTCAACCTCCTCAACAATGATATGGGCAGTGGGACTGTTGTCCCCTCAGCAAGCTGGCATGTGATGGAGTGGCTGAGGCACCACTTGATTGTGCCACCAGTCAGAGGGACCTGGAGACTAAATGTTAAAGGAGTCTCCTGAAATTCAAGCAAGAGAAATGTGAAGTTCTGCATCTGGACATAAATGGCAATGCGCCCCAGGTCATGCTGAGGACTGAGAGTCTGGAAAGAAGCTTTGCTGAGCAGGACCGTGTGGTGCTGGTGGAGAACATATGGACCCAAAAATCTCAATCCTTTCCTTCCTGGGAAAGGCATCACCAATATCCAAGCCAGATTTCAGGCAATTCTTGCCATGATATTGGGAGAAGTTGCCTTTTCTCTCATTAGAACTCTGGTGGGGTCCTGTGTAGGGTGGTGTGGGCAGTTCTGGGCTGTCCAGGAAAAGAAGCACAATGGTTTAGTGAAACAAGACCAGATCAGGGCAGCAAAGATACTGAAACAGCCTAAGAATCTCTCCTAGGGGACTGAGAGAGCTGGACAGGAGGATATCATCAGTGTGTGAAAACCTCTGACGGCAGGAAATGAAGTTGAGGGAGACCGGCTGTTCTCAGTATTGCACACACATGAAGGAAAAGGGGGAAGGACAGAAAACAGGTAGAATTCCATGGGCAAAGAAGGCAAGAAATTTTCAGTGGGAGAATGGTTACAGAGTAGAAAAGCTGGTGGAGTATCTGCTAGGAGAGCAAAAACTGACCTGACCATGGTCCTGAAAATGCTGCCCTTGCTGATTTTGCTTGAGCAGAGGGAAATGAAGCACTTGTATTCCAGACATCGTGCCCAAGTGTATGATGTTGTTCCCAATGTTTTCTGGAAGGGTTCAGAGACCTTCCTGGAAGAGAGTTTGTCAAGTGTGCGCTGGCACAGAGAGACTCTGCCAAAGCCATGAGCAGGAGAGCATGGCTATGTCAAAACCTTTGGGGTAGTGTGTCCTAGATTTGTGTCATGTTCTGGAAGGTGTCCCCTCGTCCCCTTCTTCCAGTGCCTATCTTGGTTGCTACCAGTGGTGACATCTTTCCTAAGAGAGCTGCTTTATACCATCCACACCAACAGCCTATCTGCCATCATTCTGGGTGAAAATGTGAAACCATTGGAATTCAAAAAAATAAGGAGGCATCTCAGACTATGATGCAGGAAAACTTTATTGAGGGAAAAAAAATAAGACAGGAGAAAGATGTAGAAGGAATCCAGTGTGAGATGAGTGTAGGGAGATATCAGAGGTAGTGATTTGCTTGCAGCAGCTGTTGCCAGAGCACAAAGCTCATTGTTGATGTCAGGGGTGGTGCCAAGGGCCCTTAGCAGTTGTAGCCACTCCTTCTGCCATAGCAGTCCAGGCCTCCCAGCCCGTAGCCACAGCCCAGCCCGTAGCCAAATCCACGGCCATAGCCAAGGCCGTAGCCAAAGCCACCAAATCCACCAGAGATGGGCTGTCCCTGCACACTGAGTTCAGTGCCCACGGCAGCCGAGGAGGTGGATCCAACAGCGGTGTTCTGGGGGAAGGAGGTCATGATGGGTCCTGGCAGAGTGACCAGCACAGGGGCAGGGTCGATGATAACACGGGAATCCTGGCATTGCAGGGCACAGGGCTCGTTGCAGCTGTTGGCCAGCGGGGTGGGTCTGCAGGGACGGCAGAGGTTGTTGCAGGCCATGGGTGTGGTGTGGAGGGTCCTGGAAGAGAGGAGGTGAGACAGGGCAGGGGTGAGGGGTTCAAGGGGTGGTTATTCAGGAGGGTGAGGAGAGTGTGAAGGTTGTGGGGCTGTGGGGAGGTGTGAGGGCTGCTGAGGTTGTGGCTGAGCATGCTGGAAGAGAGGGCCCACGGGTATAGCAGCAGGAGGATCAGGGGCTTGAGACTCACCTGGTTGTCAGCAGGAGGAGAAGGTGTGAGGAGAAGTGTGTGAGGGAGAGAGGCTCTGGGCTGGCTTTTATGCTGGTTCTGGAGGGGTGAGACAGCCTTGTCCCATGGCCTTGGGGCATTTTTTAGGCAGCAGCTCTCTGCTGGCTCAACCTGGTGAGTTATGAGGTTGGCAGTGTTTTCCTTTATGTAATTCTGCAGTTTCATGTCCTGCCCTTGAGGCCGTGTCCATCTGACCTTGGTGCCAGCTTTCATAATTTGTTTTTTGGGCAGATTTGATCAGTGTGTTTCAGGGCGGGCTGAATAAACAACCAAAGCCATGGAGATTTGTAAAGACATCAGTGAGGTCATTTTGTGGCACTCGTGTGCTGTGGTTTGTGGGTGCTTTGTGAAGACTGGGACTCTGTTCTGTGCCACTGCATGTCTGTCACTCATTGTGTTGCACCCAGGAATGCTGAGGGAGCTGCTGATGTCCTGTTGCAGAGGTCACTCTGCAATGGTTTGGAAAGGTCCCTATGCCTGGGAGCTCTTCCTGATGGATGAAAGAGAGCCCATGGCCTTGTGTCTTGACTGGGATCAAGGGAGAGGACATTTAAAATGAGCGGCTGCTCAGGCTGAACCTGTTCCAGTGTTATGGCCCATTTGGATTTCTTAAATTTACATGACAACGTACTCTGCCATTTAAAATGTATTCCTTGACATTGTGAAGAAATCCAATCAAGAAAGAAAAAACTGGGCTTGATCCCTTTTTTCTCAGGCTGTCTGTGACATCAATTCACTTATACCGCATTTAAGCCACAAGTTTCATAACTCATAAGCTGTAATTGTTAACATTGTGTTCCCGTATGAAAATAACCAGTAATTACTAGTGGACAATCAGTGAGGTCCACTGTCATTCCCTGACAAGGATGTGCTTGTCTTTGTAGAATTGTGCAATTCCATATCCTGCTCCTGAGGCCATTTCCATCTGTGGTGCTAATGTTTAATTGCGAGCACTAAGAGGTCAAATTCTTCTGTTGATGATTCATGTCAGGGAGGGTAGAAGACGTGACCCAAGCTTTGGAGAGGTGGGATGTCATCACTGTGATCACCCCATGGCCCTCGTGTGCCATGGTCTGTGGGTGCCTTCTGAAAATTTACCCCAAACTTCTCACAGTTCTGATAGTCTGGTCTGGGCTTTGCAGCTGCGCCAAGGAGGAGGTGTTGCACCTTCCATTGCCTTTCATCCCTCCAAGGATTTATTCTAGTTTGCAAAGGCTGACATCAGACCTCACTTTCTGTTGGGACGTGCTCCGTGGGTGCTTGGGTGATACTCTAGCCTCAAAGGTTTTGATATTTTGGTTTTTGCTTTGGGCTGAGTGCCAAGGGGTGAGGCCACATGTGATTGTCTGAATGAGGATTTGGAGGTTGGCCAGGGTTCTTGGAGGTGAGCATTGCACGATCCTTAACAACCCAGGCAAGTCCAGGTTGTGTCAGCAGCCAGTTGTGGTGGCCTGAGAAAGGTCCAAAGACTGGGCCCAGTGGTTTGTGGTCAGTGTCCCGAAGTCCAGATGGCTGCAAGTGCCCACTGGGATAGCCCAGGAGTTGGATCCACTGGGCCAACCCTGAAAACCTGACAGGTTGTGGACATTTGCTAGACTTCAGCAAGGGCAGCAGCCAAGTGCTTTTTCTTGGGAGGAGTCATCCCAGGTAAGAAGAAATATCTGGGTGTGACTTGGAACCATTGTTTTGTTTCTCTGAAGAGGCTGTTGTGGTTCTGGGTTAGAAGGAATGGGGCAGGAGGTATCCCTGTATCATTGTGGGAAAAGGGACTTCAAGTCTTTAGGTCAAGTCTAGGGAGAAGCGTTGTGATGAGGTGGGGAGAGGTGACTCTTGGTGTCTTTTAAGCCCTGGTGAGGTCCCATGTGAGCTGTTGTGTGCAGCTGTGGGCCCCCTGGTGTGAATATGAAATACATTTAGTGAGTCACAACCTGTTCAGAACCACCAACATTCGCGAGGGGCTGGTGAATCATTTGTAGAGGAGAAACTGGGAGAGCTGGGACTCCTGGGGGACGAGGGTGGACAGGGGTGTGTCATCAGTGTGTGCAAATCTCTGATGGCAGACAATGAAGTTGAGGGCGCCTGGATTTTTTCAGCAGTGCACACATTCAGGAAAATATGGCAATAGCAAAGGGAAAACAGATGGAATGCAATTGCTAAAGAAGGCTCGAATTTTTAGTTGTCATTGTAGCCGTAGAGTGGAAGAGGTGTTGGACTGCTTGTCCTAGGTGAAAAAACACTGAACTGTCCGTGGTGCTGGAATTCCTGCTCCTGTGGGTGTTGCTTGAGTAGGGGACTTGAAGCACTTGCACTCCAGATTTCCTATCCAAGTGGATGATTTTGTGACTTTTTTGCTGGAAGGTTTCGTGATTCCTGGTGGGAAGAGAGTTTGTCAAGTCTGCAGTGACACGGAAAGAATTTGACACTGCTGTACCTGGGAGAACATTAACGTTTCCAAGGCTTTGGTGTATAAGATGATGGGTCTGCGTCATGTTCTGGAAGGTGCCCCCTCCTGTGCTTCCTATGCCAGACTTCCTTATAATTTGCTTCAAGATGTTTGTGAGGGTAGGTAATGTTGCACATACTCCAATGACCTGTTGAGGCTGGGAATGTTCTTGGTAAGGATGTGAGACCACTGGAATTACAGAAGAACATGAGTCATCTCAGACTTTGATGCAGGAAAACTTTATTGAGGTACAAGAATGAAGAGACAGGAGAAAGAAGAAGGGATCTGGTGTGAGGTGCAAGCAGGGTGACCACCAGCTGAGGTGCTTTGCTGGCAGAAGCTGTTGCCAGAGCCCTGGGCTGGTGTTATTAAGGGTGATGCAGGTGTTCTTAGCAGATGTAGCCACCCCTTCTGCCATAGCAGCCCAGGCCTCCCAGCCCGTAGCCACAGCCCAGCCCGTAGCCAAATCCACGGCCGTAGCCAAAGCCACCAAATCCACCAGAGATGGGCTGTCCCTGCACACTGAGTTCAGTGCCCACGGCAGCCGAGGAGGTGGATCCAACGGCGGTGTTCTGGGGGAAGGAGGTCATGATGGGTCCTGGCAGGGTGACCTGCACAGGGGAAGGGTTGATGACAACGTGGGAATCCTGGCATTGCAGGGCACAGGGCTCATTGCAGCTGTTGGCCAGTGGGGTGGGTCCGCAGGGATGGCAGATGTTGTTGCAGGCCATGGGTGTGGTGTGGAGGGTCCCTGGAAGAGAGGGGAGTGAGGCAGGGCAGGGGTGCGAGGGGTGCAAGGGGACGCACGGGAGGCACAGGGGTGTGGAGGCTGTTGTGGGGCAGTGGAGAGGCATGAGGGCTGCTGAGGTTAGGGCCAAATGTGCTGGAGTAGAGGGGTCAGGGGTGCAGGAGCAGGAGGGTCAGGGGTTTGACACTCACCTTGCTGTCTGCTCTGGTGAAGGAAAAGTCGTGAGGAGGAGTGTGTGAGGGAGAGAGGATCTGGGCCGGCTTTTATGCTGGTCCTAGAGGGGCGGGACAGCCTTGTCCCATGGCCTTGGGGCATTTTGGCAGCATCAGGTCTTGTCTACCCCAGGCTGGCAAGTCTTGTGATGGGGGAGTGTTTTTCTTCCTGAAGTTGTGCAATTCCTTGCTCTTCCCTTGAGGCTGTGTTCATCTTTCCGTGGTAGAACATCTTAATTGGGAGAACTGGTGATGATTATATTGTTGTTTATGCCATGTGTCAGATGTGTAGAAGACTCAGCCGAATCTTAGGATAATTGGAGCATTGTCAGTGAGATCATACCATGGCATATTGATGTCATCTCCCATTTGCATTCTTGTCTCCTGCCTGAAAATTACTCACAGTTTTCTCACCATTTTCCTCGTTTTGAGGATACCCCCAGTCCTGTCAGTGTCATTGTGTCTCTGCAGCACTTTCAGTCAACCATGTCCACGTCCTTGTCCCACCAGTGAGCCCTTCTAGTGGTGGGAACAGGATAGTGCACTCCCTCAGCCTTTCTAAAGCTCAGGCACATGGGTTTCAAGTGAGGACTAATCAATGGATGGGGAGCTGTGCTCCTCATGCATCTTTTCCTCCTTATCCTTCACCACTTTTCCTTTCCATTGGTCAGTCGCAGCCACTGGGACCACCCAGTGTGACCTTGCTGGTCCCAGCTGAGATGTGCTACAGATGAACCTACTCAAGATTTTATGGAGCATGGAAGGCCTTCCTAAATCACAAGGATCAATTTCCCATATCCAGCTGGAAAGGCTAGGAATATAGACAGGCTCTGAATGTTGGCAACATGGTGGGGATGGAGAGAACATCATGGAAAGGACTGTTTCTCACAAGCAGTTCTCCTGCAAAACCAGATAGTTCTGACAGAGCTGTGATGGTTTGGGGCCCCACTTCACAATGCACCCAAAAACCAGGACGCACCGGTGCCATGGGGTGACCTCACTGATGACACCCCATCACTCCAAGGCTTTGGACATGTCTTCAGCCCACCATGACACATGCCATCAACACCTGCCCTTAACCTCTAAGACACTTAAAATCTGCCACCAAGGTCAGATGGACATGGCCTCAAAAGAAGGACATGGAGTTGCAGAATTCCACAAAGGAACACCCACACCATGACAGAGGATGGAAGAGGACTACACTGACCAACCATTAGTAATTACTGGGTTTCTGGATTTTGCTAGCAGGAACAGGCTATTAAGAATAAATGGATATGAGATATGAAACCTTATGACTTGAATGTGAAATAAAGGCATGGACATCACAGACCAGCCAGGGAGAAAATGGATCAAGCTGGGTTGGGTCTTTGTTTAATAGATTTCTTAATGAGGTCAAGGAATACACTTTAAATGACAGAGTGCAATGTCGTGTAAAGATGAGAAATTCAAATGGACCATGACACCAGAACAAGTTAAACCAGACTAACCTCTACTTTTCCAGATGTTCTCTCTTGATCCCATTCAAGACACAAGGCCATGAGTCCTCTTTCATCCTTAGGAACACT